AACTACAAGACTTGCAGAAGAAAACATAGGAGAAAATCTTCATGATCTAGGGTTAATAAAAGAGTTCTTAGACATGAGTCCTTTAAAAAAATGATAAATTGGACTTCATCAAAATTAAAATCTTGTTTGGTGAATGACACCATTAAGAGAATGAAAAGCCAAGCCACAGATGTAGAGAAAATATTTGCTGATAAATCACATAACCAACAAAGGATTTTTATCTCAAATATTGGGGAAAAACAAAAACAAAAACAACTCTCAAAACTCAACAGTAAGAAACTACCTAATTTAGGGGCCAGGCCGGTGGCGTAGCGGTTAAGTTTATGTGCTCCACTGCAGTGGCCAAGGGTTCGCAGGTTCACACCACTTGTCAAGCCATGCTGCGGCAGCGTCCCATATAAAGTAGAGGAAGACAGGCATGGATGTTAGCCCAGGGCGAATCTTTCTCAGCAAAAAAAGAGGAGGATTAGCAACAGATGTTAGCTCAGTGCTAGTCTTCCTCAAAAAAAAAAAAACTGCCTAATTTAAAAATGAGCAGGGCCGGCTCCGTGGCTTAGCGGTTAAGTGCGCGCACTCTGATGCTGGCGGCCTGGGTTCGGATCCCGGGAGCGCCCCGAGGCACCACTTCTCCGTCCAACGTGAGGCCGAGTCCCACATACAGCAACTAAAAGGATGTGAACCTATGACATACAACTGTCTGCTGGGGCTTTGGGGGGAAAAAAACTGAATAAATAAAATCTTTAAAAATGAGCAAAATACTTGAACAAATACTCCTCTCAACAAATACTTCAGTAAAATAAAATACTTCTCTCTGATGGGTTCAAGAAAAGTCATGCATTTGAAGATAGTCTGTCTTTTTTAAATTGTAAGGGTGGGAGCAATGCTCCTTCCAGCTCCCTACATCTCATGACAGAAGCTGGCCCAACTGATTATTTTTTCAAAAACACTTTATTGTGAAGTATTAAAGAATTTTGTTTTAATAATCATCAGGAAAAAAAGTGAGTTGAAAAATTTTCCCCTACTCCTGTTCCACATCCTCAACTCACTCCACCTCCTCCTCCCTGGTGTTTTAGAATTTTGGTTCAGACTTCTTCTGCAAAGGATTCCCTATGCTGCATGAAAAGTTGGCACTTTGGTCTTTGCATGAATGGGCACTATACCTGGATTATTTCTGAGTCTGGGTTTTTATTGCCAGATATTTGTTTTATGCCTCTTTCAGTAAGTTGTCAAGGTGACTCAGAATTTTTCTTTTTAATTTTCTTGTGTGTGTGTGAGGAAGATCGACCCTGAGCTAACATCTCTTGCCAATCTTCCTCCTTTTTTCCTTTTTTTCCCCCTTTCTCCCCAAAGCCCCAGTAGATAGTTGTATGTCATAGTTTTACATCCTTCTAGTTGCTCTATGTGGGACACCACCTCAGCATGGCTTGAAGAGCGATGCAGAGGTCCACACCCAGGATCCGAACCGGCGAACGCTGGGCCTCCGAAGCAGAACACATGAACGGAACCGCTACACCACTGGGCCAGCCCCTGAATCAGAATATTTATAAATACCAGATGTTAGTGAACCATATTTTAACCTGCCCTTCCTATTTCTCAGGATGTTTCAAATTTGTATGTATTTAATACTCAGTGGTCTTGTAGATAACTAAGCTTTTATGACTGTGAAAGAGATCCATTCTTTTGCTTGACTCCATTTTAAATCCTTTGGGCCTTGACAGGGCAGACTGCTACCCTCCGTTTGGGCTCTGTCCTCCATTTTCATCCTGGACAACTGCAAATCAATGATTGACACTGAGTGCTACTGGAGCCTGCCGGGGGGGGG